GGTTATTCCCAGGTCCCCAGATTCCAGAATGTGGGCATTATAGAGAAAGGTGTGAGCTTTCACTAGAACCCTTGGGTGCTTCAGAGGGCTCTCCATGGCAAGGGTGCTACGAAGAGAGTGAGGGAGAACGGGGTGTGTGGGGGCAAGAGTTTGTACTGGTTGAGCACATCCTCAGTGCCAGGAACTGGGCTGAGCATCGCACACACATGTGCAAGCACACAAATGCACACATGGGTACACGCAATCCCATTTAAACCTTTCCATGAATCCTCACAGCGAATCAGGTACTATCATTATCCTTCTCATTTCGCTGGCAAGGAGGTTGAAATTCAGAGACATCCTGTGACTTGCTCAGGGCCACATGTCCCACATGGGAAGGAACTGAGATTCCGACCTGAGTAGCCTTTATGACGCCACGGTGCTGTCTTCTGAAACCACACGGACATCTGCCTTCTCCTGACCTCAGTCTGCTCCTCCGTAGAACGGAATTTGCACTGAAGGCCTTTGTGACACTCCCATCCTGTGCTTCCGCATGGTGTCAATGTCTTCCAGCCGGAATCACCCTTTTTCAGGCAAGGGAACGAGGAGGTGGGCAGTGCATGTTCCCTGGGCCCTTTCACAGCGGGATTGTGTCTCCTGGGCTAATTACAAATAAAACTGAAGGGATGGCGATATTGTAGCCAGCACAACACATGGTGCCCCACAAGGTGTCATGTCAATGTCACGCCCTTGGCTTCCGGAGCAGAGCCGAGAGGGGCGAGAGTCTCACCAGGGGCGTGAATGCTCACATGGAGCATCCCGAGTCCTCAAATGCCAACATAGACCCTGAAGCCTGTGAAGGACAAAGAGAAAACCAAAGACAAATCCCCTGGGTTCTACTGAGAGCCCCAGGGAGCCTGAACTGCTGGAACCTACTCCCCAAAACTTCAAGGCATGATGAATAAAGAAAAAGACGTGTGAATCAGGAAAAAGATAAAAAGACCTCAGTCTCCTAGATACTATCTGCAAGACTTAAATACATCATTTCCATTACTCTCCACTGCCAGCAGTGGGATAAGTCTCATGAGCTCCATTTCACAGGTGAAAAGGCTCAAGTTCAGAGACGTTAAGCAATATGCCCAAGGAAACACAGTGAGCAGAGAGTAAAGCAGGGGAGCGACAAAGGGCAGCCTGATTCCATAGTCTTCACTGAAGCACCTCACCACCCTTCCCCTGGAAGAGGGGTACTCACTCTGAAACGGTGGGCTAACTGCTAGAGCATCCCACCAGCAGGGGGGCTAGATACAGGGAATGCACCTGAAGTGTTAGAAGAACAAGAATGCCCTGCGCGGTGGAGATAGGTACTGGCAACATCCACCGGGAAGAGCCAGCAGACCCAGGACGCGGGGCACTATTGCAGGTAGAAATGACCACCAGGACAACAGTACCCAGCATGCCAGGGACAGGGAATGGAGAGCAGAAATGCTGGCTGGGATATCAGAGCAAAGGCTTCCTGCGTGACCCTCACACCCACGCACATGAAGGCACACAGGCACACACATTCAACACATCTCAAGAGGATGGAGTGTATAAAGCCTCCTCGGTGCAGACTTTCTCGGGGAAAGGTAGAGCTTGTTGAATAACCTGTGTTTTTGTTGTCACTGAAGTCCTGGTTGGATTGATTAGTGTTTTAAGTTCTTCCAGGTGGGAAAGCAATGCTTGATGTTGAGTGACCTGCTAAAACAGGAGTCCCAGAAAACTCACCTTAGGAGGGGGCTTGGGCCAGCAGGCAGCCGCTGTTCCATTGCCCTCAGCTTTCCAGATTCTGTCCTGGCAAAAGGGTGCTGGCATGGCAGAGGGGCCTCCTAGTGCTGTGGTTAAACAAGCCAGTGACCCCTGCCCTGGGGTCACTTCTCTCCTCGTGCACTGAATGACTGCATGACCTTGACCAAACCACTTCACCTGCCAGCACCCCATCTACCAAATGGCAGTGATGGTCCTCAGCCCCCTGGGTTGGGGCGGGCTCAATGAGATAATGCAGATACACCACTTAGCTTAGTGCCTGACCCAGAGTAAACACTAAATAAAGGGCAGCTCTTATTTTCATTGGAAGACACGACATTGTAGCACAGAAAACGATCAAGCCCATCGCAGCCCCTAAAACAAGAACATCAAAAGCAGAAATTTCAAGATCGGTTGGAGATTAGAACCAACACACTCCTCGCATAAAAAAATGTCCAGATGTTGAGGCTCGTGTGGGACAAAAGTGCTGATCCTAATGAACATAATATCCCCAGTCACTGAGAGTGAATAACTTAGGCAAACATTTCCGGGTGCTCATTAGAACTCAACGGGGTAACTGCCGAAAATTCAGGAGGAAGGACAGCAGTTCACTGGCGTGCCCAGGAGCCTGCCAAAAGCCTTTCCCAGCAGCTTGACTCTCAACCACACATCCTTAGTTGAAAAAAAACACCATTGAAAGCGCCATCTGAGAAGACGTTGGCCAGGAAAGGCGCTTTCCACAGATCAGCAAAGAAGAATCTAGAGTCTAACAGCCAAAGCCTCCCACCACTCCTTTCGCCAATTAGTAAAACTCAGCCTTGATCTCAAAGCCAAAATAAACTGCTTTCTCCATATTGTAACTTTCTACATATCATTGCCATTAGTCATTATTATTATTACCCTTGCTTCCTACTGGTAGAGTTCATCAATATGATTATCTAACGCACTAATGCATGTTTTCAGTTGTGTCGGTTCTACTGCATCATAAAATTACAGTTGATGATTTCAAGCAAAGTATTTTTCAAAACTGTTATTGCCACCCAATTCTGTTTCATGATTTTCTCCTTCCTTTTCACGTCTGTCCTAGTCCCTTCTCTAAGTCCCAATCTTTGCTGTGTTGAACGTCTTTGTTCTAACAAGAGATGTTTGCTTCGATGTGGTCCAGTTTCTCGTCTTTTCTTTGGAGGTCATTGTACTCCTTAGGCTGTGATGTCAGTTTCTTCTTATTTTGATCTGTGAGTTCGGAGTCCCCCAGGGTGTCTGTTATGCAACCTACAACAGGGCGGAAGGTCAAACCCTGGTGTGGCAGCCTGGGTGCTTCCAGGAGAGAATGAGACAAGCCCTGGGAAGGAGAGCTGGCAATCACTCCTCCTGGCCTCACCCACCAAGACATTCTTCTGGCCAAGACTTCACCTTCATGCCTTCAAAGGCAAACCACATTGGCAGGAGTTTTGGAGAAATGAACCCCCACAGAAAGTCAATCATTCACCTGTTTCCTCAACTATTCACTGAGACAGGGCTTCTGCTCTGTCCTGATTTACACCTGCACCATGGTCTTGGTTATTGCCACAGTCTGGGGGCACACGATGATCGTCCTGAGTCAATGGTGGAGGGAGACCAGGGCAGAAATGGAACCAGCTCTATCTAATTTATCTGAGCCCATGACCCTCTGACCCAGGCTACAGACACCTCCACCGTCACTCACCCCACCCCTCTTCCTTCCCGCACCCGAAACCTATAGCTCAAAGTGTCTGCATAGGAAAGACAGCCATTCCTAGGACTGAAATACTTATCCCTGTTATGATTCAAGTACTTCTGGAGAAAAAGGATATGTTAGGTGACTATCTTTCAGAAGCAACTTAAGTTAAACATCAGGGGCTGCCCGTGGGTGAATTCTGAGTCAACTTCATTTCCTTCACCATGATGCAGAGTCCACTCTTTCCACTCTGGTCCTACCGATTCCCATCACCGGGCACAGGGCTGTCACCTGGTTACTCAAATACCATAGTGTTGCTGCTAAACTGCACTGGCACAGTTGCTTCCCTGCATGGAGGAGGCATCAACGGAGGGAGCCTGGAAAGGCTGCTCCCTGCTGAGAGGCAGCGAGGAGAACATGGGTTCCAACATGGGCTGCCCCACTTGCTGGCTGTGGAGTCTTGAGCAAGGAACTTAGGCTCTCTGAGCTTTACTTTCTTCATATTAAATGAGGGTTTATTTATTCAACGAATGTTAACCAAGTCCCTGTTATATGTCAGGCACTGTATTAGGTCTGGATATCCACAGTCGACATGCATAGTTCTTGCCACTGTTAAGGTTACATTACCATGGGGAGACATACAAGGTCTGTCCAGAAGGTATCCAGCCATGTAACGTGGAAAACAGAGACAATGATTGAAGAAGATACGAGATATGAGAAACACTGTACATAGCACAAGGACACCTCAGTCCTCTTCAAAGCAGGCACCTTGGGACCCCACGCAACAGTTCTCCCAGTCACCATCAGCTGCCCTGTCGTATTTTCCTGAATCTCACTGATGGTCGGAAATCTCTTCCCCTTTCAAAGGTGATTTTAGTTTGGGGAAAAGCCAGAAGTTACATGGCCCCAAATCTAGACAGTGTTGGGGGATGAGTCAACTGGGTAATTTGATGTTCCCAAAAAAACTCTGCACAAGACATGGTGTATGAATGGACGCATTGTCATGATGAAGCTGCCAGTCACCAGATGCCCATAGAATGTCCAAGCTTAATGCAAAAATTGATGCAGATTTGTTGCTACTCACTCATTTTTAAATGTGACAACCACACAGTACACATGCTCACTCAGTGGTGTCTACCGCCCCCACTGACTAGTACAGCGAAGTCGTCGTTGTTTACACATGCGCATTCCAGTCCACTCTCCTTGGCTGCCAGGTTACATCAATGTCAGGCAAACTGTTCTTGTCGTATTAACAATGGCTGGACTTTTCCTGAACAGACCTCGTATATAACTCCATATTGAGGCAAGTGGTCCAAGGCAGAGTTACAGAATATTATACAAGAGTATGGGAGAGACTCATGCAGCCTGCAGAGGTCACAGATAATAACTGCATTTACCCTTGAGACTCTTGTGAGGATTAAATGAGGCTGAGCCTGAGCAGAGCCTGGCAGGCAGTCAGAGCTCTATAAATGGTCACCACTTCCGTCATTCCGCCCAGTGAGATGCCAGCCCTGGGGGGCTGACCAGCATCCAGATGCCATACCTGCTGGACACACCGTTCCGGTCCTACGTCTCTGTGGCTCATTTTGTCTCAGAGCTCCTGGGGGTGGGACACCAACTCCTGTCAGAGAGCAAAGGGAGAGGACATGTGTTTAAACAGAGCCCATTAAAGAAGGTTTCAGAAAAACCCGCTATTGCTAACGGAAGGAAGCTAGTTCGTTTCTTCATTGAGAGAAGGAGAGAGTTCTAGTACTGAACAAATGAGCATGTCTGTCCCGTGACCCAAGTAGTCTTGGTGAGAAGAGCTGTTTGAGCAACTTGGGTAAGAAGCAACATAAATGAGAGGATCTCAATAAGCATTCACAGCCCGCTGCTTCCCCACCTTGTGCTCCCATGAATCCATGCGTTCTCCTGAAGGGGACCTCGTGCCTGGCTTCTCAGCCCAGCTGAGAACCAACACAGACTGGTTAATTCAGGGGAAAAAAAATGGAAACTAACATTTCCTTCTCCTGGATATTTTTCTTCTTCTTTTTTCCATTCAATCCAGAGAAGGATGTCTGAATCTTACAATGTCAAGTTAGGAGAGCTCTGAGATCATCCCATAGAGCCATCTTCAAATAATTTTTAGCAAGAAAACACTTCTGTCAGATGAAATTTTATCCAAAACCCTAATGCAGAAAATGGGGAGATAAAGTAATATTTTTTCATAGAAGTGTAACATTTTCTGTTTTTTTAAGACCTTATTTATTTTTAGAGAGAGGGGAAGGAAGGGAGAAAGAGAGGGAGAGAAACATCAGTGTGCAGTTGCCTCTCCATAGCCCCTACTGGGGACCAACCCAGGCATGGGCCCTGACTGGGAATCGAACCAGCAGCCCTTTGGTACACAGGCCAGTGCTCAGTCCTCTTGGCCACACCAGCCAGGGCAGAAGTGTCATCATTTTCATTTCAAGTTCTCTGTCACTGAGTTTCACTGAGGTTCCTGTGATGGATCCAAAAATTACGCTGTGGAATTCTGCACAGCGCAGGCCAGCTCAGATCTCTATTGGCTTCTGCATCTAATTGCTGTTGACGCTGCTGCTACTGCACAGTTGCAAGAAAATTCTTATTTTCATACGCAGGCAATTTGCCAGTGATTACGATTACAATTTTCTTGTACCATTTGTGTTGCAAATGCGAGAAATTCAATTCAGTTTAGATTAAGAAGAGGGGAGTGGGGGGGAGCATTTCTCAGCTCACATAAGGAAACGTCGAGGGCTTGCAGAGCTTCAGCCGGGCAACGCCCCCCAGCTCCCCTCTCTGCACTGCTGGGGGGCCTCCCTGAACTGGGGGGAAGGGTGGACCCAGGAGTTCTAAGCTTTTTTCTTCCTAGAAGAAAAAAAGAATGATTTTCATCTCCTTGAAGTTCTGGAGAAAATTCCAGAGCAGACACCAAGAGGGCAGTCTCGGGACATATGTCCTTTGCAGGAGGGATGATGACAGGTAAGGAAAAGGTGGGCTCCTACCAACCAGGTTAGGGTCATCTGGCCACCTGGGTGGTCAGGGAGGATAGGACTTCAGCACCTCCCAACCTGGGGGGATCTGACTGATGCCCATGGGGAAGTCAGCTTCCGTTAGCAAAACAAAGGGGAGCAGGGGAAGGAGCTACCTGGACAAAACCTGCAGCTAATACAGCTCACTGAATTTCCATAAAGAGCCTCATATTTAACCGTTTTCATAGCCCACTTTCCATTCTCAGTCCAATGGAATAAATCCAGATCTTGAGAGGTAGCAGGACTTTCTGGTCTAACGATGAATAGCTAGCACTAACCATTGTTCACATTTCATAATCCAGTATTACCTTAGGAGGGATTTGATGAACGAGGTCTCCATCCGATTGAAATTTTCCTTCTTTTGGAAAGAAGTATTCCAAGTCATGAAAGACAAGGCCTACATCCAAGATTGCTCTATCCAGCAAAGCTTTCATTTAGAATGGAAGGACAGATAAAATGCTTCTCAGATAAGGTCAAGTTAAAGGAGTTCATCATCACCAAGCCCTTATTACATGAAATGTTAAAGGGACTTACCTAAGAAAAAGAAGATAAAAAAGATGAACAGTGAAAGGACAGCAAACTCACAGTTATTAACAACCACACCTAAAACAAAAGCAAACTAAGAGGACAGCTAGATCAGGAGTGAAACATAGAAATGGAGATCACATGGAAGGTTAGCAACAGGGGAGTGGGAAGAGGAGGGGGTGGAAAGGTACAGAGAATAAGTAGCATAGATAGCAGGCAGAAAATAGACAGGGGCAAGAATAGTGTGGGAAATGTAATAGCTAAAGAACTTGAGACACATGGACATGAACTAAAGGGGGGGAATGTGGGAGGGAGAGGGTGAGCAGGGTGGAGGGAAATGAAGGGGGGAAAAGGAACAACTATAATAACATAATCAATAAAATACATTTTCAAAACCTTGAAAAAAGTAAATAAATAAATTTTCCTTCATTTGAAAAATCAGCGCACTGTTCAAATATATCTTGAAACATCCAACAACATGTGTAATTAATTATCAGACATCTCCATTCCCATTCTATCAGATATTCACAAAGCACTTCAAAACTACCTGATTTATTTTGTTTTGAATGTTGAGTCCAAAATGTAGCCTTCCAATGACTTGAAGGAAATTTCAGCGGTTCCTCTAGGCCTGGCTAGGATGAGCCCCGCATTGCCATATTGAAACAATTCTGCTTACTAAAGCCAGAACTGTAACAAAAACTTAAATACATAAATGATCTATGAAATTATATTGTCACAACTCAGCATGTTTTATGTTCTGCTGTTACTACCCAGCTGATCTATGAAGTTACGACAGAGCCTCACCAGCTCGTACTTGAGAATGGCCAGCACATGTGTTATAAGAATGTATACATTTGCAGTTTTAAGCAAGTAGCTGAGTGCTGGCCTAAATTATTTCTAAATATTAGTGTAACACCCCAGCCCCACAAGTCAGCGAGACTTCCACAAGAATTTTAACTATATGCAGAGCTCTGGGCCAAAGTGTGCATAAACCGCAACAAAAGCAAAACAGGGGTGGGTGTTCCCCACTTGCTACATTGTGGTATATAATACATTTGAGTCTGTGTTGTTTGCACAGTTCTTTTTAATCAGTTTTATTGAGGTATAATGAACGTGCAGTAAAATGTCCCCTTTTCAAGAGCGTATTTCAATGCCTTTTCTAAATAATTAAAGTTAATTTTTTAAATGATATCCTAGACTATAATCTTCAGCATTATTAACTTTGGACTCAGTGTTTCCTGCCTTAAAAATATCCTCCCTGGGATGAATGTGAGCAGGTATTTATAAATACTAGAAATCTATAATAAATAAAACAGTTGGAACTAGAGCGTCACATTAGTTTGCCAGGGTCGCCTTCACACAGCGCCGCAACTGGGAGGAACCTACTGTCTGACAGGCATGGAGGCTGCAAGGCTGAGGTCAAGGCCATGCTACTTCTCAGGCCTTTGGGGAAGGACGAGCCCATGCCTCTTCCTGGCCCTTGGTGGTTGGCCGGCCGTCCTGGGCTCACAGATGCACCCAGTCTTCCCTTCGTACAGATGCCCTCCCTCTGTGCCTGGGCCTGAATTTCCTCTTTTTACGAGGACACCGGTCATACTGGATTAAGACCCACCGTAGTGACCTCATTTTAACTTGATTACCCCTATTTCTAAATAAGCAAGGCCACATTCTGAGGTACTGGGGGTTAGGACTTCAACCCGTCTCTTTTGTGGGACACAATTCAAACCATAACTACCGGGAATAACAGATGGCATTGAATAGAACTGAAACTTTCCAGTGCCTGGTTCTAGTCCCTGAGCAGGTCTTGCTGTCCTGCAGGGTGGGGGATGGGTAGGAGTCTCTAAAAATACTTCAGTATCTTTTCAAATAAACTCACTTTTTTACAAAGACTGGCTAGAGTTGATTTCCTTATAATCATTTCAGAAGCCAATGACCTTCTTTCTGGATATTCTTTCTCACAGACGTTTGTATGTTCTTCATTTAAAAAATAAATAAATAACCCCCATCATCCCGCCTCCTCAATTACATCTGGTCTCTCACCTCTACCTAGAAGCAGGTTACCTGGAGTCAATTGGTTCCTTCTGCATCATCCATCATTCTGGGCTGCCCAGGAGGAGCGATCGGTCACAGGAGAAACCGTCCTTCGGGGGCCACTAGGAAGTCTGCAAAGCCAGCTAAGATCACAGCTATTTTAAAACCCAGACATCAAAGTATTTGGATGGGATCCAGAGTTTCCTGCGTCCCTGCGACCTCCCTTCCAGAAAGAAATCAAATTGTGGGCAGGAGGGAAAACCACCTTAATTAGACCTCCAATTCTCAAATCTGCTATTGGACTCCTTCCTCCAGAAGGGGGAATCTTGGAAGCTGGCTTAGTAAAATATTTTTCTGAAAACCGGTGAATCGGAGGGCAGTGCTAAAGCCAGACAGAGCATGCTTGAAGCCAGAGGCTGGCTCCCTCTGCCAGGTTTCCTCTTACGTTGCCCAGCTTTGCTTTTCAAATGGTAACAATTGCTCCCACCTATTGGACACTTACGTGTCTTGTGTATGTTCAAAAAGACTCACACGATTACATTATCGAATTCTCCCAACATCCCCATAACATAGGTTCTATCATTACTCCCATTTTACAAATGAGGAAACTGAGGTGCAGGGAAATTAAGTCAATTGCCCCAGAGCACACATTTGGGAAGTGACAGAGCTCAGACTTGAACCAGTGCATCATCTGAAGGAGGCACAGCTCTGTGAGCATGTGGCCCAGGGCAGCTACATTTTCCATTTTCAAAGAAAAGCCTGAAATCTGGATTTTATATGAAATCTCCCAACTTTTCAATGTTGGGAACTGATTCAAATAGTTTTAGGAAAACTTTGTGCCAACAGAAAAATTGGCACGGGAGTGGGGAGGTCCACTCTTAGGTAGGAACCCTTGCCCTCCAGTCCTCGTGTTTCCTGTGGGAGGGACTCGAGGCTACACACAACCTCCAGTCTTTGTCCTCTGATTGGTGTGCTTCAGAAAAGGTCCTGTGCTCAGCTCATCTCCTTCTTCCTCAGGATCCAGCCTGGCCATGCAGGGGAAGCATGTCATAGGCTGGGTGGGCAGGTCCATCTACTCAGGGTTTGTGATGCACCCACAAACCCTCTTTCTTGCAAACAGAAAGCCATGTGCTCCTCGGTGTATCAGTTTCCTGTGGCTGCTGCAATAAACCACCGTGAGAGAATTTATTCTCTCACAGCGCTGGAGGCCGGACATGCACAATCAAGGTGTCAGCAAGGCTGTACTTCTTCTGAAGGTTTTGGGGAAGAAACCCTTCTTGCCTCTGCCAGACTCTCATGCCTTCTGGCAGTCCTTGGCATCCCTTCCCTTGTAACTGCATCACTCCAAGCTCTGCCTCTGTCTTCACACCGCCTTCTCCCTGTGTGCCCCCGAGTCTGTGTTCTCTGCTCGTAAGGAAGACATCAAAGGTATTCGACTTGGGACTCACTTAGTTCTGCATGACCTCGTGTAAATTCATTACATTTGCAAAGACCCCATTGCTAGTGTCTCTGCTTGACAAATTAGGAAACTGAGAGACAGAGAAGTAAACTGTTCAAGGTGCACAGGTAATAAGTGTGTGTAATAATAATAATACTTCTAATGTAATAAGGCAGGATACAAACTCCCTGCTATTGTGAAGGCACTGCTGAAGAATCCTGGATTTCATGAATATATTTTTTAAAGTAAAATAAGGATTATTCCCACTGGCGTTAAAGGGAAAATGAAGCTATTAAAGCTAATTCCACTAGGGGGGAGTAGACACACGCATTTTGACACTAGCCCATAGAATTTTTTTTTTTAATATTAAACACAAAGTTTTATCACATATTCGATGCAGATTGCTAAGGAAGAAATTAATCCAAACTACTTTTCTATTTTCTTACTACCTTGAAGTATATAATATTGTTGTGAGAATTAAATATTATATATGCAAAGTGTCTGATAAACTGACAAGCAAATGCAAGGGCTTCACTCCATCAACATTCACTAAACCTTTATTGCTCCCTCCTTTGAGCCAGACACTGCACTGTTGCCAGGGGTCAGGGCGCACCGGGCCTGATGGTCCCTGAACGATGAGAGACAAGGACCCACCACGCCACTGTAGCACCGTGCACTCACACTTATTCTGTGTGAAAAGGTCATAGAGTTGGTCCGGGCACCAGGTGCATGGTAGCTTGGTCTGGAATGGGGGCAAGAAGTGGATAACTCAGAATATATTTGGAGCAACTGGATGAGCCTGAATTTGAAAAACAATGTGTTAAGTGCTGCGTTAGAGCCCAGGGGTGGAGGAGTGCAGGAGAGGGAGTGAGAGATTCCACCTGGAGAAATGGGAACTCAGCTTTAACATGAAAAAGAGCTTGCAAGTCAGATGGGCAGAAATGGAGACGTATTCCAAGAAGACAGTACTCTGGACTAAGGTTCCATAAATGTCTTTATGCCTTTGGAGAAAAAGAAGAGGACACCCAGCAAGAGCCGTTGGATGAGATAGAGGGGAAGGGAGGGGTCTCTGCCCCCCCAAATCCCCATGTAATAAACATCAAAGATAGGTGGGAAAATAGTTTCTTCCCTCAGGACACAACCTCCTTCGGTCCCTCCTTCTCAATGTACCACCCCATCTGCCTAAAGCAACATCAGTATCTCTAGACTCTGCTCTATTCTATTCGGCTTTGTTTACATGGTAATCTGTGCTTGTGAGAATTCGGTTATGCGGCCCATTTCCTACTGCGTGGCACTTCTAATACAGCCCCTCATTCAGGGCTCTCGTGTGCATTTCAGGACAACAAACATTCCGGGCCTTCCTTCCTCTCTGTCTAGCTGCTCCCTGGCTACTCCTTTTCACTCTCCTTCACTGGTCCTTCCTCGTTTTCTGGACTCCAGGCTGAACGGCCAGGACTCAGCCCCCTGCAATCTCTCCTCCATCTACGCACTGTGCTGGCAGTCCCGCCACTCTGCAGCCATGAATACCACCTACACACAGTTACTTTTTGTGTGTGTGGCAAGATCCCTTGAAGTCTACTCTATTAGCGATTTCCAGTCATCAATGCAGTATTATTGACTATAGTTATATGCTGAACATATGATTCCCATCGCCCCCCCGCCCCGCACTGTCCCAGCCCCTGGAAACCACCATTCCACTCCACTCCTATGAGTTTGATTTTTTTTTTTAAGATTCCACACATAAGTGATATCATACAGTATTTATCTTCCTGTCTGGTTATCAGATGATTAGATACTTTATATAGATTATAAAGTATCTAAATATATATATATTATATGTACATTTGTTTATATATTATATATAAGATTATATATCATTATATTCATATATTATATCTATATATCTTTAGCTATCGCCTCCCTCCTGACATCCTGTTCTATGTCTCCACTTTGAGGTTCAGACTCTCAGCCGACGGGCCGACCCCCAGGGCACATGCCTTTGACCAGTTCCCTGAGCCATTCCCGCAGGGGACGCTTGAAAAGCAACCATACATTGATGTTTCTCTACCTCTCTCCTTCCCTTCCCCTCTAAAGATAAATAAATAAAATATAAAAAAAAAAAGAAGCATCTCACAGTTGAAGTATCTAATCATCTGATAACCAGACAGGAAGATAAAAACTGTATGATATCTAGAGTGGACTTCAAGAGATCCTGCCACACACGCAAAAAGTAACTATGTGAGGTGATGTGTTCATGAGCTTGACTATAGTCATCATTTCACTATGTATATGTGTGTCAAATCATCATGCTGTTTATATACCTTAAATATGTATTTTTAAATACATAAATAAATAAATTGAAAAGCCACCAGTCAACAACAAACCTAATCTGCATCCAGAATACCACCCCGGCCCCGGCACACCTCTGGCCTGGTCTGTTCCTCTCCCATTTGTAACCTGTGTCCAGCCACGCTGAGTTCTTTGCTCTTCTTCAAATATGCCACAAACACTCCTGCATGAGGCTTTTTAACTTGTCCCTGCTCCTTAAAATGTCCTTCCGAGGGATGCCCTCGTGGGTAGCGAGCTATTCTCCGTCTGCTCCTTCACCTCCGAATATCATCTATTCGGTGAGTAATTCCCTGATCATCCTTTTCAGGACTGAAATTGTACTATCCACTTTCCCAACTAGCTCTCTATTTTCACTTCTCTGGTATAGTTTCCCCCTAGAACTTGTTACCTTGACAACTACATACATACCATTTGTTTAGCGTGTCTCCCCTCTGCGAAACGAAAGCCCCACAAGGTCAAGGACTTTTTTCTGCTCTGTTCACTACTACATCTCCAAGGCCTAACACAGCAAGCAGGCACTCAGGAAATAAGTGTTGGATCAATGTGTCAATGAATGGATGGTTTCTGCTAACAATCTTAGAAGAGAATTAGATTTTGTCTCATTCATTAAAAACTCCCAAGGTGAACAAAACTCAAATGACTTGCCAAAGGCCTTAAAAATTGTCCCAAAGATATTTCCGCTCTAGAGGAGATACCGACTACCACAGAAGTTTGTCCCACTCTGGGAGAGTTGCACATTTGTCTTCATACCAACTAAGGCCACACCATACAGTGGGTCCCTGGGACCCAATTCTAAGAATGGAAAAGAATATGTAAGGCTCCTGCCTCCTAAGGAGTCCACAGTACTTCAATATTAAACATTTAGAGAATATGTTGAAACATGTAATTGAGCGCTAAATTATCTGACTGTTAGACTCCAGCGGATAAAAAAGTTTGTCTTCATTTAATGGAGTGGTTTTTGTGGACAGAGAAATGGGAGAAATAGGTGAAGCCACAGGACGTCCTTGACATTACAGAAAATCTGATTTCGCAGCAGCCGGTTCTACCTGCTGCCGGGAAAGGCATGGCCCTGCGCTATCGGAATGCTTCTCCTGTTCCTGGAGGAATGTTTCGTTTGGAACAAAAGCCTGCTGTTTCCATTTTCCCTGACTCTCTGTTCTGGTTTCTGTGCTTTGGAGAGAACCACCAGCTCTGCCCATCCCAAAGGTGTGCTGTCCTGGGGGAGACGAGCGGTATCACTCACCTCCGCCCTCGCTCTTGGTTGTTTCCCAAACCTTCCACAGAGGGCGCTGTCTGAAAACCCCAGGAATGTGCGCCATAGATGAACCGGGAAAGCCCCACCCGCACAGAACAGGGCTGCATTCCCCACGCCTCCTACAAACACCCGCCAACCAGAGTTAGGAGGGACCAGGGGAGCAAACGTTCCGATGGCCCCCAGCAGGTGGGTACCTGGGGAGACCCAGCAGGTAGGCTCCATGACTGCTTCACTCCCAATGGCTTCCCACAGACTGCAGGCCAGCACGGCCCCTGGAACTCCCCAGGAGCTCACCTGTCACCCCATGCCCCCACTTCCACCCAGCCTGGACGAATTTCTAAGCGGTTCCCAGGACGCTTCACGGGCCCCCAGGCCTCTGTCTTTGCACCTGCAGTTCTCAGCCCAAAGCTTTGCTCCTCCTGCCTAAAGCCAGCTTACTCCATTCTCCTTTGACTCTGTAGGAGACTGCAGCAGGGGTCTTTCCTAACCCGCCAGTCTGACGGAGGCGCCCGTTGATGCTTCCAAAGTAATCCGCGCCAACTCTGGGCAGTGCTGTGTTCATTCCAGGCTACCCCTGCTATTCCAAAGAGCTGCGAATGCAGGGTCTTTCAGCCATGCCCTCCATAGTTAGTGCCCACTGGGCACAGCAGGAGCTCAACTGGCCATGGTTGATAAATGACTGAAAATCAGAGCTGGGTATCAGAACAGTCTGTGAAAAGCACACCATTCTGCACTGTTAGAGTTTCTCATGTACATTACATGAGAAATAAGATGTAAACTACCTTCCTGGGAATGAGTTCCTTACCTCCCTTTTTCGCTCCCTGAAAGCATTACCCCAGGCATGGCTACAGTACAACTACACAAAGCTCCCATTTCCCAAAGTGAGCCTGTTTGATCTCCCTCTTCAAGCTCTTACCAGCTCAGCAGCTCAGAGAGGCGATTCCCCACAGTACTGACTTAGCGCCTTTGATCTTCTGCCCCCCACCCTCTCTGGAGCCTACTCCAGATCACTTCTGCAAACACTCTCAGTTGGCTGGGCAGAGCCATCTTTCATTGTAAAGCCCCAGAAGTTGGTCGTACTTGCCGAAACCAGATTTCCACATTCCGGGGATTCAGAGGGTTTCCCCAAAACTAAATTCTAGGCGCGTCTTTTAACTCGTCTAAGAATAAATGTCTCCTGGCTCAGGTTTCTTAAGAAAACCTTTTCTAATAAGATAATTTTGTTCATCAGAAAGTCTCTAAAATTCATCCCTCTCTTACCTATTTTTAATAATATTCTTGAAAATAACCAACATTGCTTGAAAAGTTATTAACTTAAAATTTAGGCATTTTTAAGACTCCCTTTTCTTTTGAAAAATCTCTGCTCTTAGTCTCTCACTCCAGAGTCCTCAGTACCCAATAAAGGTCACAAGCATTAGTTTTAGGACACAGGTTGGTGGGCGGAAAGCGTGATTAGCGTATAATACACAGTAGGTTCTAAATTTAAATAATGTCTGGGTGAAGGAAAACATTAAGGCTTATCATAACATGGAAGAGAATGAAATGCGGTCAAGTTTTAGGGAAGTTTCAACTAACTTCGGAACTGGAACTTTATTTCGCAGGCCTGCTTGCTATTAAAAGTCAGTGTAAATGGGGGAGGGGCAGGGAAAGGATGGGGTTTGTCAGGAAGTAACCTGGAAAAATCGCCCATGGTCAAAGTGCAAACAATTTGCACAGAAAAAAAAAAATGGTGATAAAACGATGATTGGATTATAACCTAAAAAACAAAATGAATACCTGTGAGTCCATACGGATAGAAATCAATGATTGGATACATAAATAAACAGGGGTCAGGAACAAATGAACACTCCTTGGAGAAGAATCCCAAGTAACAGCAGTGAAGAACAGAGGAAAAGGCACACCGCCCCAGACAGTCCGGGGGTGATAACACTGCAGGCAATACTGAGGACGGGGGCTCATTCAGCGGGCAAACCTTGAAGAGAAACAGGGTGTTTGTTGGCAGGGTCTCAAAGTACCTCCCCGAAAATACTTATTACTGTGTTGCCTTTAACAAATGTCCAAAAATTCCTCAATACTCTTTCCTTCAGGAGGTAGTCCTTAATTCTCTTCTTCTTTGAGTGTGGTCCAAAACTGTGACTCACCCGTGAGGAATAAATAGAGGGTGGGAAAGAAAACTGGAGACCTGACCATGGGGAAACATGGCGAACACCCCCTACTGAGGGGCCATGGTCAATGTCACCAGTAACAGTCATGAGATATTAAGATACAATGGGATGAGGATATCCTTTCCAAAAATCTATAACCCCGGCCTAATCATAAGAAAACATCAGACAAATCCAAATTGAGGGAAAATACCTCCAAATATCAACTGGTAGGCTTCAAAAGTGTCACAATCATGGAAAACAAGGAAAGACTGAAAAAACACCAGGAAGAAGAGACTAAGGAAATAGGCCTACCAACGTAACAGAGTGCAGTGGAATCTCGGATTGGATCTGAAACACAAAAAGGACATTGATGAAAAAACGAACAGAATCCAAGTAAAGACAATAGTTTAGTTTATAGCACTGCACTAACATTCAATTTCTTAGTTTTGACAAATGTACTATGTTTATGTAAGGAGAAGCTGGCTGAAGGGTATACAACTCTGTACTACCTTTGTACTTGCCTGTAAATCTAAAATTGTGTTAAAATTAAAAGTTTTCCAAGAGTGACTCTCCCTAACACATCTAACAGGACAAGCTGCTGATAGTCCACTTAAATACCACTATGGGCTTGTGGATGTGAGACAGGCATGTGTTTATCACAGCCAATTCTCAGTGATTCTTTTTTATAAAAGATTTTATTTTATAAAAGATTCTTTTTAATAAAAGATTTTATTTATTTTTGTAGAGAAAGGGGAAGGCAAGGAAGAAGAGAGGGGAAGAAACATCAATGTACAGTTGCCTCTCACAGCTTCCCCACGGGGGACCTGGCCCGGCTTTAGGCAGGCATGTGCCCTGACTGGGAATCAAACCGGCGACCCTTTGGTTCACAAGCTGGTACTCACTCCACTGGGCCACACCAGCCAGGGCTCTTAGTGATTCCTACCTTCGATGATTTTTTTTATCATTTTGATGTCCCTATGGTTGTTGTATGGACCAAATATATAAGATAATGCTTTTTGTATGAAAAAATTTTGGTTTATCATGGTAATTTGCTTATACATTATCTTTACATATTGATATACTGCATTGATACATGACAATGACATGCATGACTTCCTTGAAAGTGTTCTTTTGGAAAATAATTAAGAGAACCAAGTAAAGAGAGATAAAAATGTTTTAATTATTGAAATACGTTGGTAAATTGAGTAACTCACATGGCAATAGTACATGGATACACATGGTCATTATCAGGTGAAAAACTCCCCCAATATCCCACTGAGCATCAGTCACAAGTCCATGAAACAGGACAGAAGGAAGGCGATGAGATGCTGTGATCACTCGGGGGCAGAATGGGAGACTTGACGCCTGGGAAGGGTCTGCAGTCACAGAGCCTCGGATTGAAGAGAACAGGAAGCTGGTCGGAATGTGTCCACGACACACCAGCTTCGGCGGTTCCTCTCAAACTACGGCAATGTCATACCCTGTCCCTAATAAAGGAAAATTTCTGACACTTAAATAAAGCTGAAAACCAACCAGTAAAAAGGGGCAAGAGATCACAGTAAGAATCAATTTAACAATGCTGCAGCTGAAAATTAACGTGAAGGAGAAACAGTGACAGATCACAGGCAAACAGATGACTTCAGACTATTCATTTATAGTGCCTTCTTAAGTTACAAATAGAGTGAGGATTTCGTTATATAAAAACTATCAAAAAAGTATCAGTGAAAAGACACCATCGTCGTGAACGGCGTGGAATGGCGGGGTAGACACGCTGCTGGCGCAGAGCGGGCTGGCTGGGCGGCGGCATCTGCTAGCTGGTCCCCGAAGGTGGGCCACAGAAAGCTCCATACCCGGGTGTCCTGTTTAACCGAGTCCCTTCTGGTACCACGTCGCTCGATGTGCACCCATGGTCTGAACTACCGACTTAAACGTTTTAAGGAGGTGGGGGGGGAGCGAGTGATTGTTTAAACTCTCCTTGGAAATGTCTGTGCACATTACAACACCCCATGGAGCGGAACGCCTTCTAAATCTTGATGAGCAAGCTATGAAGATAACAGACAAAGGGGAAATACTTAGCAAGCTTGGAAAAGTACAACTTCAATAAAAATACATCAGCTTTAAGCCTGGAAATCATTTACTCATTTTAAGTAAAGCACACATTCAGCATTCACTTGCTATTTATTTAAGACTTCATGCACAGCGCCAACCACTGATTGATGTAAAGAAGACAAAGTCAGGTAGAAAAAGAGACTTATAAACGGACACTTAAAACACGATAAAATAATGCCCAAACCTAGCTGCATGTCATCATCCCCCAATGAAAGGGACAGACTGCTGGGCCACAACCCATCCCTTCCCTCCATGGGCAGACTCTCCTGGGTGGGCTCTAGCCATCCTCACTATGTCAGGGGAGGTTCTCATGCAGCTGGTCCGTCCACCGGCCTTTGAGAGCCATTCTCTTAAGCTCCTCTGGACTGGCTGTGCTCCACAGGTCTAAGTGAGCACAACTCTCGCCCTGCAGTCATCTGCAGAAGAAACTACACATGTGCGTCGTGACATGAGTAATTTTAAAAGATTCTGAAATCATTCCTCACTTTGCTTCAAAAAGTAACCAAGACAAGTTTGAATGTTGGTCATTGAGTGAGTTCAGTGGCTTTATTTCAAAGAAGACTTTACAGGTCAGGCCAAAGAGGATGTCTCCACTCCTTTCCATAAAAATGTCTTCCACTCCAAAAGATCCTCTTCGTTCACGTGGGGGTTTCTGCCCAATAATGGCAGCAGGGAGGGCCATGAGTTCAGCTGTATTACAGATAAATAACAACTAAGCAAAGGGTCAGCCTCTCTACTTAGAAAGGCTGTAACTCAAAGGAGAGTAACTTTGTGGGTAACTCAGAGGTGTCAGGAGAAAGAGCACGATCAAGTCAATGGTGTAGAAATAGGGAAAATGGAAAAGAGAGAGGGATGGCAACAAAACAATATACATTTCCGCCCAGAGCAGGAAGGAACTGTTCTCGCCAGCTGTCTGAAGTTGCATGGGCTGGCTCACCAGCAATTTTGCTAAACTGTTATCTGGGAATTCTAGGTGCACATACAAAATTTAGCAATTATTGTGTCTCCCATGAAAAAACTAACACGGAGAAGCTGAGAGAAGGTAAAGGATGGGTCTACAATCCTGTGTTAGCAGAGCTACCCCGTCTCCGATATCCATCTTTAGAGCACGTTTTTCCACTCCATTCCCATGCGTTTCGAAATGCACCCTGTTTTCAGGAAGGTAAACAGTAACATATGCTCTGTTTCAACTACATTATCTTTACGATTGGATGTGAATAACAAAAATACTACTACAATGGGGGAAAACTGGCAGGAAACTGAGAAACCAACATGGAGGGTTAGAACTCTATTAAAAATATGAGAAATCGCCCTGGCTGATGTGGCTCAGTGGACTGAGTGCCAGCCTGCAAACCAAAGGGTTGATGGTTCGATTCCCAGTCCAGGGCACATGGCTGGCTTGCCAGGCAGGTCCCCAGTGTGGAGGGGGGTGGGCACATGAGAGGCAACCGCACACTGATGCTTCTCTCCCTCTCTTTCTCCCTCCCTTCCCCTCTCTCTAAAAATAAATAAATAAATCTTTTTTTTAAAATACAAGAAAATCTCGATCAAATTCCTAGAGAAACTCAATACCCTCACATGACTGTGGGCACCAGGGGACCAAGCCCCATGATGTCACTGCCTTGATGGGAACATCTCCGAAGTTGCTGGCCGAGACTGTTACGTTTCTTCCCAGAAAGAAACTGACTCCAATTTCCATGTCCCCAAACCCCAGTGGGAAAGCTTATTTGTCTCCACCTGTGAGCTTACTTTGTGACCCCTCCCCCATCCCAAACACCAGCTCCAGTACTGTCCTTCAGCAAGAGGCTGGTCCACTGTTAAATCACTCTTGCTTTGGGTCAGCCAGTGGCTGGGTGCTGGTTACAAAAAGAGCATCGTAATGAAGATGATAATAGCAATGAGGATGATGAGTACAGCGGAAGCTACTGTTTATTTCATACTTCATCCTAACAACCACCCTTCGAGTTAAGCCTTAGTTCCATTTTACAGATTTAAAAAATGAAGGCCACCAAGGGAAAGCAATGTGCCTAGCTCCTAAGCAAAAGCGCCTGAGTTCAAATCCAAGGCTGTATGGCTCCCTAAAGAGAACGGGCTATCTCAGGAGTCCACGATTAACGTCTCCAGGAGACAGCATCCATGATGAATGGGGGTCCAAAGGAGTCGACAGGTGATTCAGCAAGACTGAGAGACAGTAGGGATCCAAGCACCAACGTGTTGCTGGACCAGGTGAGCTGAGGCTCTTATTCTATACGGATGGCTGCTTAGCATCTTTTAGAGACAGGGTGTAGTTAACAAATGAAAGCTATTATCTCCTGTCCTTGTTCTTGCTCATCTTACTGTAACTCTAGCTCCAAGCTCTTCACCAGGATCCCAGGTTCACAGTACATGATGTAGACAAGGTTTTCTTCTGTCCACACTGAACATGGTTTATGCTTTCCAACCAGCAAACCTGGCCTGTGAGTTTACTCTTCCTTCCTGCGTAACGGGGCAGAGGTACCACCTGTCTCCACTGGAGCCGTGGTACCGATACAGCTCCTCCTTGTACTTTCACTGGCTCCTGGCTGTGGCCAAACACTTCATGTTGATCCTAATGTAATTCCCAATTCCTAGTCTCTCCCTGTCATTTCCAAGGTCTGAGACTCTTAAAGTTTTTGGCAATGAACAGTGAAAACTCATTGTTTTTGGTAAACACTTGGCTTGCTCTTTTTAAATGAATTAAGCTGCATTTGCAAGACAATCAACGTTTTTTAAACCCGCAAAGAAAATCGATCTGACCATTAAAGACCTCTTTGCAATAAAATACGTTCAGTTCCACAGATTTAACCACAAGACGAAACCCCCTCCTAATCTTGAAGTCCCAAGATTTCTTAGAAATAATATAGCAAAATAATATCTACAGTTCATTCATCATCAAGGCTAAATATATCCAATTATTTAGAAAGATATACAGTACCTCTTGATTATTGAGTCATGTATTTGTCTTCTAGTCTTAAAAAGAAAATTAAGAAAGGTAAGTGATCAGATTATAAAGAGCATATTCTAGTTTCTTATAAAAGCTCAAACAATCACAACATAAATTATTTGCTAGTTCAAATTATAAAGTAGAAAATAACAATGAGGAACAAATAACCACAGTATGTCAAATTAATGTACTACCGCCTGAAAAGTTCTCTAAACCTATACACAAGACAACTGCACAGTACTTAGGAAGTCAGCATTCTTTACCAGAGCCCCCACTTAACCTTGACTCATGCAAGGAGCCATCTGCATGGCTGCAGTTGCGCCTGCCATCAAAAGGACTTCATTCCCCCTCGAAACTGCTCTGAAAACTCAGAAAAGGGAGCCTCACTTCATTTAATCAGACAATAGGCCATTACTCTTCCTCGAATCACTGATCATCAGTCAGTCGTCTTTATAGTATAGGACAGGAATTCACGGTTGTGTTTCCCCCATGAATTGACTGACGCCTTCGCTTTCATTTTCATCCCGATCACTACTGATACTAGTGAAATTAAAAATACCCATGGAGGGTAACCACAGACAGAAGCTGACTTATGACTCCCAGCTGGGCAGGGCTGGCGGTGTCCACCAATGATTACAAAGACAGACACCGGGCTCCCTGCCACTCAAGCGTATAGAGGTGGAGTCCAGCTGAAATACACACTTCGCATCTTCTCACCAAACCTAAAATAGATGGTCAGAGAAAATAAATATCTCGCGATTTTACCTACTTTTTCGAACGGTCTTTGTTTGATTCGATACCATATTGACAGCTTCAGATGGGAGACCGACATACACTCCTCCATAGTTTCTTTGTGAAAAGAAAAAAAATACAGAAAAAAAGTCAGACCAACTCACATGGTGCCACATGTTTGAAGAAAGCAAGAGCAGCATGGAGTACTTCAAACAAGTTATTAAAATAACGCATGACTTTTCAAAAGTAGAATTTAAAATGTTATTGCCCTTGGAAATGTAATTTTTCCTGTTAAAAAGAAGCTACATATATATCAAAGAAAGCTGTATTCAGTTGGTAGGAATTTTAGATATTTTACTGACAATAAGAAAAAAAAGAAGTCAGAATGCTATAATTTAGTGTAGTAATAAACACAGTGGAGTGACAGGTGACAGTTATCAAGAATTCAGAGCGGCCAAAGTGATACATTCAATGCTATGGACACACAAAAACACCTGTCATCTACAGGGAGGTCTAAATATAAGATTCGGAGACAGAGCTGGGGAGTCATGAGAGCGGGGAGCAGGCAGGCAGAGGAGGAGCGGGAGGACGGGCGGCTGAGAGAATGGAGGGAAGTCGCCCAGTCGGGGAGAACCGCACACCGCACACTCCCGGCCACAGATGAAAACCGCCACCGGCCACGTGCCCCAGACGAAAACCAAACTTGCTTGAAAGAAGCACAGATACCGAACCCTGGGCAAGTTCTTTTCCAGCTCACACACTCTGTGCCGAAATTTTTCTGGGTGGCACCTATGTTATACTGGTAGCTATGGTGTTAAATTAGATTTGCGAGTTAAAGTAAAATCCACGAGAGGTGGCCACAATTATCCAAATGAAAGCCCACTTCAATATCAAACATACCTCCTCTTGTCATCTTCTGTTATCGACTCTTCTGTTCTGAAAGGTCAAAAACACTTGTTGTGAGCTGTCTGGGTACATAGTCAGAGACTGCATTTGAGGTTATGAGAAAAGGGGCTCCGAGTCACAGTGTTTTTACTTCACATTTTTCCACCAAGTACTTCTGTAACACAGTATTCTGTCTCCACCTCAATCATTCATGCACTAAAAAAGCTGTTAACTTTCTACTTACCATAACGTTCGAACCCAGCAAATGCCAACCGCAAACAAAACGAAAAATCGAGGGCAGCCGACATGGAGAAGAGCACAGAAATTGGACATCAGGAAGCCCAAGTTCTTCTCTTGGCTGTGCCCCCTGCTCCCTGTCACAAACAAGCAGTGGGCAAGTGGCCCGCCCATATGTCATTTGTAAAATAAGGGGGTCAATCAAATGCTTTTTGAAAGAAAGTAACAGCTCGACAAGATCTAAGTATTTCTGGCTGAGCTCAACACGTAATTCTTAGGCGCTTTGGTCAAGAAGAAAAGCAAACTGAAAACATCTAAACAGCTTCACTGAACCTCCTAACTCTAGGGACTAATAGTGGTTTCCCCCATTTCAAAGTCGTTAATTTTTCAAGTGTGCACGTCCATGAGATTTGGCTTCATTGCAACAGCCAGTAAGGCCCAAGTCTGTGAGGGAGGGGAGTGTAAATGCGGCAATTACCAGCCGAACACTGGCCTGGCCCGCAGCCGAGGCTCCGCAGGGCACACACTCCCCTGGACGCCCCATCGATCTGAGGTGAGCGCATAACCTACAGTGGCCAATTACCAACCTCGTTTCTGTCTTGCTAACGGTGGGTCGTTTTTTAATTCAAAGGTGTCAAGGCTGTGCTGCATTAAATGGCGTTATGCTCACTGAAGCAGTCCAACAAAGTGTTGTTTACTACTCGTAATTAGAATGGATTTATAACCCGTTAGTACAGATAACAGGAACACGAAATCAATTCATTCAAGATTGTTAGAACGGCTTACTTTGGCCCTGAGTAACTAATGTTATCATGAAATTGGTTTTTGAAGCTACAAATAAATGGTGGATTTGGACACAAACAAAGCCTCATATTTCCTGCCACAGCTACACTTTTCATATCCAATTAGGTATCTGCTTATTACCATTCTTTCCCTTTCTAATTGTGACTAAGGACATAGTGAAGGTTTTGAAATATATTTTAATTTCCCCAAGTATAAAAAATTATAAATTATTTTAATCTATTATACCTTATTAAATAGTCAATATGCTAAAACCCAATTTGTATTCTCCTTTATAAAATTAATCAATAACGTTATTCATCTAACTGGCAGGGAATGGTAACATAGCTGCCATATTGCATACTAAATTAACCTTCAGATATAATACGAAATGTTAAAAAAATACCACTTGTAAGGGCTTATAAGAAACCTTCTGAGTCATCATCCTGTCTCGGTGCCCATGCCCCCACATACGAGACGGCTGCCTCGTTCATTCCTCCCACGAACAGTGATTCCACGGCACAGTGATCGGAGACCGAAGACTACGTGGGTGAGAATGGAGTCTCCAGGGGCCCCTCCTGTGTCACATACAGTGCGGGGCACTCCACACCATCAGTGCTAGTCCTCACAACAACTGAAAATTTAGACCTGAGGAAACAGGTTCAGAGGGCCATGTAATTAATAAACGTGCAAGACCAACAAGCAAGCCCAACGTTTACCCCATCCGACACCGGAGCCCTGCTCCACATTCTAACCCACTACTCCGCCCATCACGTAGGCAGATGGGAACATCGAAAACCCGTCCGGTGACACGCCAACATGGCGGCTGCCCCTAAAGTGGGCACTTTATGAACACTTTCAGCATCACGCCTGGCTCACAACCTGCTTGTGTAAACGGCACTTGGTTGGTGCTCTTACCTCATCTCCTTTAATCCTCACCACTAACCTGCACGATTATGCTAGTTTCAGGTGTACTAGCCCACAATTAGGCACTTACATAACGTCTGAACTGATCACCCCAATAAATCTAGTACCCGCCTGGCAGCTCACTTAGTGATCACAGTGTTATTGACTGTATTTCCCATGCTGTACCTCACACCCCGTGACCGTTTTGTAATTGCCAATTTTTACCATTTTGTCAGCCCTTCCCCTGAAAAGTCATTTCTGGTTGATAAGAGAAGTGGACATTACCTCGGGACAGTACAAAAGTGGGGTTTGTTAAGGTTGTCTAACCACTGAGCGACTCAGCAACAAGCCTGCCTCCGGGCTTCTATCCTTGGCAGAGTCTCAGGTTTGGAACGAAGCCCTGGGCATCCGAACCCTGGGGCTGCTCGTCTGGACACCGAGTCCAGATATCACTGCACTTGTTTTCTCCCACAAAACATATTTGGAAAGATTTTGTTATCAACTGGCCTTAATAGCTAATTCACTGCTGTTTTGTCAGACACACACCGCCCGAGGGAGCTTCTGATACACACGGGGACAACCAAGGTTCCCACTGGCAGCGAATGTAATTGGAACCAGAGGCAAATGAGGCTCACATTTCCGGAGGCCTGTGCGGCCTCGCTGTGGGCACATGCAGATTCCCACTCCGTGTCTGAAGTAATGAAGCCGGGCTGCGGCCCTTCTTCAGCCTCCGAGATCCAGATGCCCCAGTGAGAACCGCGTTCAGGCCAGAGCCCTCTCCCCCCCCCAACCCTCCCCCCGACCCCACGGAGATCTTGGATGAGCCACGCTGAGTTTCACTGAGGACTTTCTTTTTCTTTTCTGGTAGCTACAGCATAAGCAGGAGAAGAGTGGCTTTGGGGTGGCCTGCAGCCGTGATGGCTGATGGATTATGAAATCTGCCCCCAAGACCAGCACAGGAGTAGGGCGGGAGAACACGACACAAAGCCACACCTCCCTGGGCTCCGCGACCAGAGCCTGGGAGGTCCCCAGGAACAGGCTCCGCCCCTCTACTTCCTGCAGACCAGCAAGGGCAGAGTGAGACGGCCTCACCCCTGAATCCTCCTTTAGAGAGGAGAGGCTGGAGACTGAATTACCCCAGGTCAGGAACGTGAAAGTAAAAACGAGGCCGTCTCCCAGCAGACGAACTGGAAAGGAGGCCCGGCTGCCCCACTGCCCTTGGTACCGCTACCCAGGGGTTAAGTGGCCTGAGTATCTCGATCAACTCAGCGATCTTGCTCCCTCAGAAAAGGAGGAAGTGGATGTACAGCAGCCAGGATGGATCTCCTGGAGGTAATGCACCTCTGAATAACAGTTCTGAAACAGATTCAGGAGTCGAGGCCCAGACACCTACAAGCAGGGGCGCTGAAAAATGGGAACTGTGAGAGAAGAAATCTGAGAACCCCCTGAGCACCCTCCCCTCAATCCACCATGAGTGGGGAAGACACCTTGAGAATAAGGCTTCTACCAAGAGGACCAAAAACACGGGGTTATAGGAGGTAAAGGACCAGGTACCATAAACCAAACCACCCAAACACAAAAAGTGGAGGGTAACTTTGACCAGTGTCCCTCCCTGCTCGCCTGCCCTGGCTCCCATGTCACCATTAGGGAGCAAAAGGCCAAGGTCAATGAGAAAACTAGCACAAATTACCAAAGGGTCAAGGGCAATCTGGAAGCAACTAGGTAGCACATGGGGACAAAATCCGCTCTTGCCAGGAGACCTGTGCTGGACAGCAAGCTACTGTCTCTCGGACCACATCCTCACCCCCTGCTCTGTGATGCTGGGGACGGGACTCTGAAAACCACGTTCTCCTTGGCCATCTGGCTCCCTGTTAGGTCCTACCAAGGACACGCTGGAGACAGACACGATGCCAAAGGAGGAAAAGGGCTACTCTCTGTGGCTCCAGGTGCTGTTCCTGCCAGCACCGCCCCAGCAGCTGGCTCCGGGGTCCAGAACAGGACCCAGTGCCTTCGTTTTCCAGTCCCTACAGCTCAAGGGGGCTGGGGGGGGGGCGCGTGCCTATGAGCGGCCTGCAGCTGTGGCCCCTGACGGATTTCAAAAGTCAGATGTAACAGCTCCAGCCTGGCAGCGCCCTGTCTTCTAGGCCCTAAGATGCCAGCAGCAGCCAAGCAACACTGACCCCTTGGAAGTTGGGGCCCCAGGCCCCCACAGTCCCTCTCCCTCCAGCCCCCAGATTTTGAAAACTCTGCCTCCTTCCTTGTTGCCCCAGCCCCAGCCCAGGCAGCCACTTGCTGCCATTACTAGTTCTGTTCATCTCGGTCTTCCTTCCTTACCGCCTAGTCCTCCAACACCTGCTTAACCGATTCCTAGCAGCAAACTCTTCTCTAAAATAGTTACTGTGATTTCCTTCACACTGACGGGACACCAACTGATGCCTTACTTGGCAGCAAGAATGGGGGTTATCTCACACACTGAATCCTCTTACTAAAGGGTCTAAAGTACTTGTCACTCTCTGTTCATCAGATCCAGTTCTTACAATGGGATCCATATACTGGAGTGTGACGTGCTGCAGTTTATCAATCAGATGTAGATGCTGCAGAAGAGAGGATGCGAGGAAGCAGGGAGATCTTTGAAGCACAGAGGGAAGACTGTGATGGTACCGGTGGCCGTGGCAGGAGCAGCAAACGCTTCCGGAATTCTTGCAAACAGGTGCAGGGACAAAGGGTTTGCCAGACCAAAGGCTGCATGCCAGGAGCTGGGGCTATGCGGGTTATTTTCAATGAAGATACCACATCTTGACCAGCCGCTGAAATTGGAATCACTCTTCACCAGGTTTACAATAACCCAACGTCACTCTCTAAAATAAATCTGCCTCCTGCACTGGCCAAACAGGCAAGTTCAACGGGGATATGAGTGGTCCCTCCAGGCCTTCATTTTCTCAAGTCTTTTGTGAGGACACTTTGCTCTGAAATTCCCCAGGATGCAGCACTCTTTCTGGTTCCTCCAGGGAAGGAGTGGGAATTCCACTGGCCTCCACGTGGCCCTTCCTACTGAGGTCAGAGGGCCAACTCGGGGATTCAGCCAGATGCCAAATACATCTATAGCAATTACAAAGTCAAAAACTGAG